GCCTCGACCCCAAAGTGTCCCGCAGCGTCCTGCCCCTCTCCATCGTCTTCATCGGTATGGTCACCTCCAACAACCTCTGCCTCAAGCACGTCGGTGTGGCCTTCTACAACGTGGGGCGCTCCCTCACCACCGTCTTCAACGTGCTGCTCTCCTACCTGCTCCTCAAGCAGACCACCTCCCTCTACGCCCTCCTGGCCTGCGGAGTCATCATAGAGTGTCCCGCAGCGTCCTGCCCCTCTCCATCGTCTTCATCGGTATGGTCACCTCCAACAACCTCTGCCTCAAGCACGTCGGTGTGGCCTTCTACAACGTGGGGCGCTCCCTCACCACCGTCTTCAACGTGCTGCTCTCCTACCTGCTCCTCAAGCAGACCACCTCCCTCTACGCCCTCCTGGCCTGCGGAGTCATCATAGGTGAGGGGGGGTGCGAGGGGGGCTGCGGCCGGGCCCGTAGCCTCAGAGAGCTGGCGGTGGGGTGCCTTCCCCTTGGGAAGCCGTCCCCACTGCTTGGCAGCTCCCTGGTCAGGTGGGGTGGCTCGGGGCTTGCATCTTCCTCTGCGCCCGTCAACCTGCTGTGCGTGCCTGGAACGCCTAGGTACCTTGTTAACAAGGGGAATTACTCATACTTGACCATTGCTTCCTTTTTCCTTTGAGCACTGACAGCTCTCTACTTGCTAATGAGGTTTAACTTGCCTTACCTTTTTTGTTTTTTCTCCCCACAAAGTCCATAGAACAGCAGGTGGCTTCCTCCCTGTTCTCAAGTGCTTGTTGATTATTAACCTTGGTAACAATAACAGTTCTTATGTCAGCACCGTTGGGACCATGCAGTGGAGCCAGCCCATTCAGACAGGCTGAATGCATGGGACGAAGGGTTAGCTGATGAAGCCAAGCGTAAAATGCCACCAGAAGATCTGGTTTGTGGTTAGGACATTGGGCAGGGCGTTGACTGGCTTAACGGGTGTTGCTTACAAGGCTTTCATTCCGAAGGCGTCCGTAGTACCAAAAGCTACCTTCCACTGGAGGGTCATTGAGATGCCAAGGGTTGTGAAACATTGACTTCAATCCGGAACCAGGTGGGCATGTGTTTAGCTTTGGTGCTTAGACGAGTAGATGGACTTGGATGGAAATGAGACGGGAGAATCTGCTCTCCATAGAAGAGGTGAACAGGAACTGAACTACTTTTTTCCATCCAAGTGATGCAAGCAATTGCCTTCAGCTAGTCTTGTGTTTGGATGTTGTCCAGGACTGTGGCATCTGCCAGCCTTGCAGGGTTTCTCTAAGACTCTGTCCCTGTGGCTCCGTCTACTTTTGTGGGAGTGTAGCCCGTATGCCTGTAGCAGCGTAGCTGAACATCCTCTGCGGCCTGATGCAAAACCCTTCCTGTCTGTGCATTGAACTCATTTGTATTTGGGCTTAAAGTGCATTGGGAGCTTTGCTGGCAACTTCCCAGATGGCCTCCAACATGAAGCAGCTAATGGAGAGGTGGTGCATTGCTCCTTCAGTAGCTCGCTTCCCCTTTTATGTTTTGCTTATGAGCTGAATGGGGAGAGGTCTTTCTCTCTGCCCTGGAGACACAAAGCCTGTAGCTCCTGTTTCAGTGGCAGCTAAACAGTATGTTACCTGTCCAAGAAGTTTAATCTGGTGAAGATACTGCACTCAGTTTCTGCCTTGTGATCTTTTTTTGATCAAGCTTCTTAATATTACATCCAGGTGTTTAGTATCTTTCCATCTTCTTTTCTGACCTATCTTTCCCTGCCTGCTAACAGTGCAGCAAAGCCTGTGAGGCCTTTTTTTTTTTTTTAACCTTGAAGAATATTTTTTGCTACCTGTGTGTCAGTTTACTGCCCTTTCAATTAAAAGAAAAAAAAGTCATCTTCTGAAAATAACCTATACATGAAGAGTTGCTTTAACTTTAGTTCATGGGTCTTTGGAATAATAGTTTCTAAACTTGTGCTGCCTGCTCAGTGTGGGAATCAGTCCTCTGAGGTTGAATGATAGCACAGTAAATCACCTGCACTCCCAAAATAAATCTTTCCAGGACACTAGTTATGACACTTTGTGGATTCACTTAATAGAAAGGGGAAGCCCTTAAGCCTGTCTCTGCTTGTGGTTGTGGGTGCTTATTGTAAAGTAGCTGATGAATTGCTGACTGTATGTTTTGAGTCCTTCAGCAGTTATTCAAATGATGTCTGATTTGTTTGGTTGCAGGTGGCTTCTGGCTGGGTGTTGACCAGGAAGGAGCAGAGGGCACTCTGTCGTGGACAGGTATATTCTTTGGGATCTTAGCAAGCCTCTGTGTCTCGCTCAATGCCATCTACACCAAGAAGGTGCTGCCTGTGGTGGATGGTAGCATCTGGCGCCTGACCTTCTACAACAACGTCAACGCTTGTGTCCTGTTCTTCCCCCTCATGATGCTGCTGGGCGAGTTCCGCACCCTCTACCACTTCGACAAGCTGGGGAGCCCCAGTTTTTGGGGCATGATGATCCTGGGGGGAGTGTTTGGCTTTGCCATTGGTTATGTGACCGGACTTCAGATTAAGTTCACTAGCCCACTCACCCACAACGTGTCTGGGACAGCCAAGGCCTGTGCCCAGACAGTGCTGGCTGTTGTCTACTTTGAGGAGACAAAGAGCTTCTTGTGGTGGACGAGTAACTTGATGGTTCTGGGAGGCTCCTTCGCGTACACATGGGTGAAAGGGCTGGAGATGAGAAAGGTGCAAGAGGATCCTACTATCAAAAGCAGCGAAAGAAATGAGACTGGTGTGTAGGTGGCTCCTGCACCTCTGTTTCTGTGCCTGGAGCGTTCACCTTTGGTGCTCCTTTCCTCCTGGGGAGAAGAAGAGCAAGGAGCAGGAAGAAACTCCCTTGCAAAGTGTATGGGGAACTGTGCCAGGAACCAGAGCCAAAGACCAGACTGGATCGTGTTTTATCCACGGGATCTCGCCCTGTATCGGAGTTGGGAAGAGCATGTGTTGTAGAGAGCAATCAGTTTTTTGTGATTGTTTTTTTAAAATGGATGTTGCTGTTGACCTAATCTGGGCACTTTGCATCTTGGGTGGGATGGGGTGGGCTCACACCAGACAAAGACCAGGATGGGAGCTTTGTGTAGTTGAAGATCTAGAATTATCTGAATGAATAAGTCTGAAGTCTGAAGTTACAAAATCCTGCACCTCCATGTAAGGGAGAGACAGGTAGCCAGATTGTTGGGACAGAGTCCAGTAAACTGTTCTGCTGTGAAAGGATTGGCAACAGCTGTTCTTCCTGTTGCCCCATTCGATGCAAAGGGTGGGAAATTCCCTCCTTTCTGGCTCTACAAGCTGAAGCAGCAGCAGTGCCTCCAGATCTCCCTTCCAAAGAGTCAGTACCACATCCTGCTGAGGTCTCTTCTGTGTTTCTCTGCACCTCGTTTCTTAGTTCAGGAAATCATGCTAAGAATCAGGAATGAAACTTCTCATTCTCTCTGCACCACGTCCCATGACGGAGGGCACGCTTTCTCAAGTGGCCTTTTTTGGGGAGGAGCGAGCTTGCCCTCTGCCTCAGCGACAAGCAGGAGGGAAAAAGTTACTCTGAAGCCCTTGCTCCTGTAGAGTGGAGATCCCCATTTTGTGGGGTTCAGAACACTTGTCCTTTTTACCCTCTGTGTAGGGGGCAGGTTTGTGTCTGAAAATGGGGTTGTTACTAACTAGGCTTGTTTCGGCAGACTGGTTCCTTACCTACTCAGGTGTTTGCAGTTTGTCTTTTGGCTTGTTCCTTTTAAACAACCCCCCCCATGGCCAGCTCAGTGAAGCCTTCACCCCCTGAAAAATCCTAGTTTTGCCCAGCTGCATCAATCCCTTTACTAGAAACTTGCTGCTGAACAAAATTTGTGCCCATGCACCCCAACCCCCAGACACATCTGGTCTCATGCAAGTGCCACCTGAGGTTGCTCTGCAGCTGTGATTTCTGACCCCAGGGGCCAGCAGCAAGATGCTGTGGTGCTGCACCACCTCCCTAAACCCCCGGCCCCGTTACGTGTGAAGGGTTGTCTGAGCAGGGGTGCTGGGTGGTTGGGGTGACTGCTTCGTACCCTGCCCCGTGGATCCTACATGGCACGCTATGCCCCGTTGCGCGATGTCTGGCTGCTCCTACAGAAGGATGCCCTATTTCTGCCCGGAATATGTTCCCACCTGCTTATGGGGGGGCTCCTGCTCCAGGTGTCATCACCGCGGGAATCTTCTGGGTGCAGGCTGCCATTGGGGGGGTCCCTGAAATTTTATTTTTTTCTTTTTTTAAAGGGAGGTGGCTTTTTTAACGTGGTGCGCGCTGACGTGTAACGGCCAAGCCTGCTGAATAAAGTCGAGGGTGGCTCTCTGTGTCTGATGAGGTGTCGGCGCGACGTTTGCAGCGCGGGTCGCCATTTGGGCGGGGGACACGACG